CTTGTGGGTAATTGTAACAGCTGACTACGCACTAGCCATAGCATCAACCCTCTATGTCTTCCAGATATTTAGAAACGCCACCAACAAACACATAGCCTATATATTGGCTTCACGGTACTTGCACCTTCTAATTCCACGCACCCGAGTCCTTAAATAGCCACTCAACTGATGAAAAAATTCCTCGTCGCCTATGGAAGCCGAGGTTCAGTATCATCTTCACAAAAGTCCGCCACTGCAATTCGAGTTAAACGAATACGGTTCACACATTCACATCACATTTTTTAAAGACCCAATTTAATCTATGTTTTGGTATCCAAAATGGTCCCGTCCCTTCGGGGTTTCCAAAAAATGTTGAAAGCATAACTTATCGTTCCTATGACTCCCGACCACTGTGTTAACACTTGATAAAAGCAGTGTAAAAATTCCGAGGAAGAGCTGACCACTTAATAAAAGTAACCTAATCCCCTACGCCACGAAGACTTACACAGTTACACGTGTTGTGAAAATAAAGTTCACATCTGCATCTGACGGAAGCGGTCAGATTAAAACTCCTGTCCTTCAAGCCCGAGGGAGAGGCCGGTAGAAGGGAACGAGACAAAATCCTTATCTCCTTGCGGGATTCAAACGCGGTCGTTCAGCTCGCAGCCGATTTACTGTTACATCCCGCAGCACAATGGCATAACTGTGATAAACCCAACACCTGTCAAGACTATTTGCACTGAAATGCATATTCAAATACAGGCAAGCCGGACAGCGAAGTATCACACCATATGTCACGAGCCATGTTACTAAAATAAAAACATGATCTAATGACACTGAAAGACGTGACTTCGGATGACCTTTCCGTGCGAAAATGTATTTCTTACACAAATACGTGTGTTAGGTCATTATCGATTCATCAGATTTTCCTTTCGTACTGGCAACCGAAAACTTTGTATCGATAAACATTACTTATTGTATTAGTAGTAATTACCGAAAAAACTTCAGAATTAAATTACACTGCATTTGGCCTTTAAATTACCGCATCAGAAAAATATCACATGTAAGACCAGAGAATGTCTGAACTTTTTCGTTCGGACATTGGAAGCCAAGCATAAACTGAACTCTACGGCCACAAAGACACAAATACGCAAACAGGAGATCTTGAACGATAGCGTAAGGAACTGTAACGCTAGTAAATAGGAGACTAAACACGAGATTCAGTTAGGAAGTGTTACAAACCGGGAAAGGTAAATTTACCATGCAACGAATGCGTATAAGACGTGACATGCATTCTATACACCGACACTACACGAAAGTTAGCAAGCTTCACGCTCTGGCCATTTTACCCAGGCGACCACTGAAAAGAATAGATGGATGCCACCACATCACACACCATATTCCTACATTACGAAGTGAAATATACTTCCCGTAAGAAGAAAAGAACGATCAAGTACCCCAGGTGAACACGAAATAATCGTGATATATTTCTCATTCATAAACACATCAACGAAGAGTATATTTTCCGCTACAGAACAATGCTCTCATTATTTTAACTCAAAATTCAACACGGAGACAAGTCATAATATATAATGAAGAACAAGAACTTCATGGTATGGACGCGACACACCACACCACACTTATATCACTCAAAGCTTACAATACACGGATAGGCATTCCCTGTAACAGATTCTGATCTTGGCAACACTTGAACTGGACAGACTACATCCAACTGCTTCACAACCAAAGGAGAGCTAATCTCAAGACAAGTAGAATGGCGAGATCTGCGCAACCATTGGCTGTTTTCAAACCTCGCGGTCAACTTTACGACCGCCCAGTGAATGCCGACAGAAGAAACTAGAGGTCGACCACTAATCTGGCGATTTCGTTTCGTTTATTTCATTAACTCCCGAAATTGAACGTGACCTCTAATGTCTGGCTAAATAACTCAGTGTTCCTACCATTACCCGACAGGTGGTATTTTTGTACACTAGATTAGCTGGATACAAACATTTAAGCGAATGCTGTTAATGTACGAACACAAGGTTAACTAAAGAAACGATGAGTCAAACTCAGGGTCATTTGCCTCATGTCCCATCCTGATAGACCGTTACTTACTGGAATAGTTTTCTTAATTCACCAAAGCCGGAACACACGCATGAGTCATACTGCGTTTTTACACAATGCTATAAAGCCTCTGAAAGATGTATATGATCAAAACTAAACAGTATACCATTCACACATATGCCCATTTCTTAGTTTTGAGTCTATAAAAATGTAACATGTGACAAAGGGTTTTGAAATTGATGACTGTCAATATTTTTGGCTGCAACAGATGGGACAAGCAGATGCAAAAGTGAGGCGAGTCCACACAAATACAGACTAATTCCATTCTTCGGTACAGGCGCAAAAAACGAGTTCATGAACTCTGACAAAATGATTGTGCTGTCAAAGGATGCTAAATGTTAATCTGGAAAACTGGAAATAAATATATTTAGAAAAACAATTTTGCAATGTACCTTGTTCCATGGGGTGGGAGGGACGAAAAGGGAACAAGGCATGTAGGTTAATTCAATACTGGGAACGAGTACAAAGGCTCTGATGAAAAAGACACACTGAAAGTGTACAAACTGTAATTGTAAACTGTAACTGTAGTTAACTATGTGTTATTTGGTAGTCTTCCATATGTTCCAAATGTATGTTGCATGGTCACCATGCTTCATGTTCTTATGTTCTTCATAGGGTCAGAGACCCAGATTCATTAGTGTACAAAAGAAACATAATTTGATAAAACCCTCTTGAGCAACAAGGTGCCAGTTCTGGACAGACACAGCTTCTTGCCCGATTAAATTTCATCAAAAGCAGTAGCCCTGAAAGCTTCATATCCAATTACAATTAGTTTTATTTTTAATATTTTATGTTTTTGATTGATCTGACTCGGGACAGGGACTAGCGATGTATGGCATGACAGTAAAGGCATTAAAGGCAATTTCTTGACTAACTGAGCAACCACCAGCTTCCTAAGTAGTAGTATATAGCAGTGGTATTCAACCATTTTTGTTCGCGTACCCCCAGACATAATTTCTTTTCAACGTTGTACCCCCAAAGTAGTTGGTGTATAATTCAAGTTATACATAGTACACAATCTACATATAAAATAAATTAAATTACTGATTATTCAGTGTTTATCATAAAATAATATTTTTTTAAAATTTAACGTACCTCCTAAGATGTCTTCGAGTACCCCAGGTCGAATACCACTGCTATATAGTATAACAGCAGAATTAGCACAATATCTGAAAACTGTGAATGACTATGATTCAGATCAGTTTTCATATGCAAGTGATGAAATCACTAAATATTTCCAATACATATCACCAGGAACAATAAAGATCGGAGATGACGAAGGCAAGATGCTAATTATTTTACTTTATCTGATAAAACTGTACCTCTCAAAACTCAATCCATTTCACAGTATCCACAACATGTTTTCGACAGAAATGTACATGAGTTTCAGGTAATCATAACAGATGAATAAACAACTTGACTGGGATGTTAATTTGGCAACACCACCGTGAACTCAAAAATAAGGAAAGAACACTGATTTGATTGCTCCAATAACTGGCGCTTTCTATCCTACACTGCAATTGCCAAATAAGGCACTATGGCATCACCTTGTAAATAAGTAACTGCTCCTACTGTCGCCCCAAAAAATTATTACACAACTTCCACTTTATACCAGGAAAAGTTCTATAAACAATCCAGATATAAGTGTGAAGCATGGGCCTTATGAGCTTGTACTTCCATTTCTGTCATCCTCTATGGATATGTTTTCATTTACAAAACCGAGAGTTGCAGTACGACTTTGTTTCATAAGAATGTGCTTTAAGCAATATGTAGTACATTACCAGTGAGAGGAGTTTATTTAAATCGAATATAATTTATTTTTATTTTATAATTAGCGGAATAGTGTACGGTAGAACGAACAGCCACTACCTCAGTTGCATGGCTTGTGCACATGGTGATTTGGAGTGCAGTACTGTGCTATCCAGAGAAAGGGCCTTGAAGATTATTATCCTTAAATCATTTCACATGTATTGCTATTTCACTGCATTTCTTTTTCTGAGAATTTGTTCAACACAGCGCTGATTGACAAATGAATTTATTCCACAAAGGGGGGGGGGGGGGGCAGTAGGCAATATTTTGCTGGCTTGCTCCAGAATATTGTTCTTTGGAGGCATATGACAACTGCAACTTCCTACAATTACACATACTTAAACTTCCTTACTCTGTAACCTGCTTGTAACTATTCAAACTTGAAGAATGTGCATGTCCTGCCAGTAGTACAAAGAATGGGGAAAAAATTAATACTCACCTTCATACCTTAGTGCACTTGGTAAAAAATCGGTGTCTGCTGATCAGTGAGGTTATAAAGTTAATGGTATATTCTGATAAAAGTAACAGACTTCAATGAAGGTGTCCTGCATTAATGGAAGGGGGAGACCACAGCATTTTTTGGGGAATAAGGAACAGAACACGATTTGAGAGAGCAAGCAAAACTGTTTCTGCAACCACACTGATGATAGGTGCAGCAAGCACCTCTAAAACACCAGCAAACTTCTATCAGAACACACACCAATATAACACAGAAGACGGCAATCTCTATACTCCCAGTTACGAGAACCAGAAATCCTACTTCCTCAAATATTTACAACACAGCCTGTTTCCATACAGTTCACCACTTGGAAGCAGGCAAACAAACAATATTCAAAATAATATCAGATAAAAGAAAGCAGGCTAAATTGCAACAGCCATAGAATCCAAGCCAAATATATGGAGATCAAGATAATGGCAGTAGTATGAACAATGAAGCTGGTAGAACTTCCAGAATAAAAAGAAAGACACAGAAGGGGGAACATCTGAAGGAAGAAATTAATGAGCTTCAAGCAAAAACAGAAATATAAAATACCTCTACAGAGGCATAAATACATTTACAAATGGTTAAGAACCTACGATTAAGCTTGATTATTCATTCATGGTTTATTTATCAATGCTCAACCATGACTATACAGTGTTGAAATGATATAATAAATAAACACGACCCTAGCTTAATATAAGGCAATATATTGTCACCTGCTTGGAAGAACTTAGGGTAGATAGCCTTCATGCCAAGTTTTGATCACAGGCCCTCCCTAACATAGAGCTGGGCGCTAACTACTTGGCCACCATGTTTGGTAACTTAACATGGTATCTTCCACCATCAAATATAATGAAAATCATCCCCCCCAGGGGAAAGGACCCCCGGTACCCATTGGATACAAGGCTGGATGGTCCCCAGAGCCTGTCTGGAAACAAGAGGCTAGAGGAAAAATCCTCTGCCCCCATCGTGGATCTAACCCAGACCACCCAGCCTGTAGTTTGAAAGCATTGTAAATCAATAATTTAGTAATCCAAAAGCTATAACCTGATGTAAATTCTGATGTAATTACTGACATCACTCAATCATAAATAAGTGGGCTTGTGTGTGAATCGATGTGGTTTGAAAAGAAAACTACTTCTGCCTTCATAATCTGAATCTGTATCCAAAAATTAAACTAACCCAACCTCAAATGTCATTGAATTAATATACATGGCAAATAAATATATTATTACATTTAAAGAGAAACAGAAATATTCTTTTCAGTTCAGTACTGCAACTAATGTATGCCTGAACACTGCAAGCCAACATACTGTATAAAAAACTAAACTAAGCCCAAAGTGAATTCAGATTTATGGAACGAATATAAATATATATTTAAATATCAGTACTGAGTTTTCTGATATAACTACTCTAAATCATTAACATCATACGAGTAAAAAAAAGAGGCTTAAATGACTTACCACAATATGGTACCAACTGGCTACATAACCTTAAATGTGGAAATTGCATACACTAATTTAATGTAGTGCAATGGGGGAAGGAACAGATTCACATCATAGGCAGGAAATAACCAGTGTTTAATCTGCTGAATTGTTTGCTTGCACAGTGTGTGTGCAGTATTTTTTCATGTGCATTGCACAGAGCACCTTTACCTTACACTGAATATGTCTTCAAATTCAGAAACTAAATCCAGACCAGTGTTTCACAGTGAAAGTCAGTGTGTTTGTGTTACTTTCATTATTTTAAATATATTATAGTAAGGAATGTCTTTAGGGCATTTTGGTGAAGTATGGAAATAAATAAAGCTATTAAATGTTACTGTTAGTAATATTTTTTTCGGGGAATAACTGTCTTGCTGTATTTTCTATTATCAGGGATTCAGTTGCATCATGGAATGGCAAAGGCTCCCACAAAGGCAAGTCTGTGGTACTGAATATTCTGCATACAATGGTTTAAATCATACTGACCAACAGGAGTTGTGGTGTTAACATTGTTCTCCTGTTCTTTGTGAAAGCAGTCATGTTAAGAGACTGACATGCGTAGAGTATAACAGCAAAATAAGTTCCATTGCCAGTTAAATGTTTTTAGAACAGGTAATACACAGACCACAGGAGGAAGGATTGGTACTGTTTACCTGATTCTCTCAAACATTGTTGAATCAAGCATATTTTTAGTTCCTCACACCCACATTGTGGAAACAAGGCATACCTGTGCTTATACGTATTCTACTCTAAGTATATTAGACATGCTAGTAAATACCCTTACATTTTCTGATACTAGCACTAGACTGATCAGGGAACCTGGTTGAGGTATCCCCCCGATTAAGCTCCAGTTTTGCAGTATGCCAGTAGACCCTCCTTTGACTTCCTGGCCAAAATATTAGGTGTAGACATTCCATTTCTTTAAAAAATGCAGTCTTAAAACACTATGCATCTTATATAACAAAAGTCGGACCCTTGTCAGTGCACATGCACTGTGAATCGGCCAGTCAGAGTGAAATTTGGTTCATAATTGTTTCTCTAACTCCCACCCCACATAAAAAGCAATATTCAACTATCAAAACAAGTATGTTGTTACAAATGACAAATTTTAATCAGTAACTAAATTATTTTTAGCAGTCAGTGCCTTATTTATGAAATTCCTGGCTAATTATGGTAAAACAAAAACAAAAAACAAGCAGCTTTCATGGACTGTTTGCTATAAACTGCAAATTGTAGGTAATGCACAGGAGCATTGGAACAGGACTGCAGAAAACATTTTGATCCTCTACCAATTGAAGAAAATTATATGGGTATGGCTCACAAAGAGGTTTTGAAAAAGTTAATTAACAGAAAATGTGCTTAGCATGGGAAAAGTGCAAAATGGTAAGAAATGGTTGCTGACATACTGAAATGGACAGGACACTCACAATGGCATTGCAATAATAAAAAATAAAAATAATATATATATATATGTGCACAAGCTCTAAAATTAGCTCATGCCTGTAAGAAATTTCAAAGGTGGAGCAACTTTGTGCTACTGCTTTATGAAGCATAACGGCCCAGGTAAGTAAGAACAACTTCCTGTATGAACAAGAATTTTCAGATTCTGACAAAGAGTTTCTTGGATTTCATATAAGAGAGGACTGAAAACAGCGAAAGTTACTTTACAGGGGTTTAAGATGTTAAATATATGATCTTTACATTTATACCTTGATATTGCTTTGATTTTGGGGGGGTACATCTTGTACAAGGGAGTTTCTCATACACAAGAAAATATAGTATCATAACATAACACCTTTTCAGAATGCCTTGCTGACAATCTGAGCAACAGCTTCCACATTCTCAGCAAGTACTTGTTTCATACTTCCACGGTGGTAGAGTACCCCGCAAAGTTTGTGTACAAGAACATGAAGATTGTCAATGAGACATTCTGAAAAGAGAAATATTATCAACTGCACTCCTCTTGTCAGTAATATGATGCATACTATAGCAATCTTCAATCACAACAGAAGTACTTTAATCCTAAGATAGGACACAGCCATTTTGGACATGGGAAAAATTTATAAACACAACATTCAAAGATAAAACCCTAACCGCATACAAACTGTAAGTTAAAACACCTGATTACGCATATAGCAGTTCACAGATTTTATTACAGAACATGTAAAACTAATATGCATTGCTTGTGAATTGCGCACAAAGCTTTATCATTACCACCACAAAAAGAAAAAGTTGACAGTGGAACCACGGTTCCAGAGAATCTGACGTAAATACGTCTCTGTAATGTAATGAAATGAAATGTAATGTAATAATTCTTATATAAGATAAGTAATTGTGATATTCTAAAATGTTTTTACCAGCGCAAAATTTTCGTAGTCTACAATGCACTTCGTCTACAAGCGATTCACAGCTCAGCTCTTTCCGCAATAACGAAAGCAGATTGTTGACGGCAGTAATGTAACACAACAATGCCGAGTAAACAGATGACGTTTCTTAGGTAACATAACAATGCATGCAAGCTGACCATTGTTGTTGGTCCATATTTACACATTGTTGATGTGGATCTTACACGTTTTTCTTTCACTTTTTTGCCGAAAGACCCTTCCGTATAGATGTATTTACGTTAAAAAAATAAAGCTGACCCACTACACACCATGTAGGTCATCTGGGGGGAGTAGAGGTATAGTTCCTACTCTTTCTTGACCTCAGCGAGTGGTCAGCATCATGCCCCCGCTGCGCTTTACCCCCAGGAAAGGACCCTGGTGCCCACTGATAGGCTAGGTGGGCCCCAGAGCTGGTCTGGACAAAGAGGATAGAGGAATAATCCTCTGCCCCCGTCGGGGATTGAACCCCAGTCGTCCAGCTCATAGCTAGTCACTATACTGACTGAGCTATACCAGCTCCCCCAATACCACAAACTAGTTTGTAAAAACAGAACACGGCAGTTGCTGAGCAAGACACTGGATGTTCAGACTGTGCAACAACTATAATGAAGAATGGAGCTCTAATTATTAAAAGAATAAACATTCATATTATTAGAATAGTACTAACCTAAATGATCCTCTGTGGTAAGGGCTATCATAATCAATGCGTCTCCTCTTCACGTCCCGAGACCCCGAACGTGAGCGTGATCTGCTACGAGAATGATTTCTTCTTGTGCGAGGCATCTGCAAAGGCAAAATGTCTTGAATTCCTATTTCTGAAACTGACGTCCAGTATAAGACACTTCCAAGAATACAAACTATTTGAATACCCTCTCCAATAAATTAAAGAAACAGAAACGTCTAACAAAACTCTGTTAATGCGGTTTGATGTTATAATAAATGTTAACTGGTTACACACAATTGAAGGCATGATTTTTCCACCCAATGAGGCAATACATGACGAATGAACACCTTATGAAAATAAATTACAACTTTCCATTTACCTTACACGTATCTGAAATGGGCATACAAACTCCGGAAGACATTTCAAATGTATCGTGTGTTAGCCTTGGTATTGATAAGGCCTAGGAAAATGAGACGCCATTTTGAATACCCTAACGGCTTCTACAGAAGTCGCCACGATATCATCAAAGTGCAAAATATATCAGCCAGTTTCTAAAATATAAACATATTTACTAACATGCAAACATACACTTACATTCCTTTTTCTTATATATTTCAGTTTACTCCAAATAAAGTCCACCACGAAATGAAAACAAGACCTGTAACTAAAACGTTGCTTTCTTTCACTACGTAAAGTCCAGAACATTGGATCGATGACGATTGGGCACTCACGTCATCGCGTCAGCTCAAAACAACATGGCAGCGGAATGGTAGTATGAAAAACATAATCATTCACAATTTGCGTTGTAACAAATAAAATAAAGAATTAATGTGTATTGTGTACAAATGATAGATATATAACTTTAAATAATATACGTGCAATTAAAAATAATTAGATCACTTAGCGCCACTTCATAAAAGCTTAGTTTGCCTGACTTCTTAATGTGAGATTTTAGGTTCCCAAAGCGGCAAGTATGAAAATAGTTGTCTTCTGGTTCATCGCCTTGACGATGGAGGCAGACACATACCGGACTACATCATGCAACTATCCAGAAGACATCTATCTTAAGATCTTTTAATGTTTGAGCTACACTGAAAAACCAAAATTACACTATTCATTACCCAAATTTTGTACATTTTAATCTTTTTGCTTGCGAACGTTCTCTAATTTTTTGCGGCTTATTATATTTATTTATAATTATATCAAAGGAATTCGGTTCAGTGACAGTTACGCTCGTTATTGGCTCTAGTCTACCTTCTATGTTTTAAGGTGTTTTCGTCGTAGGTATAAAATGGCTAATTTTCTATAGTAAGCAAGCTGTATAGACGAGGGATAGTTATTATTAATATTATTGTTCTGACTCATTTCCATTAACTTATATTTTGCAGTCCAAAAGAAGTATATCTGTAACCGTTTAAAGTGACCGAAAATTCTTCGAGATTCTTATTGTCAGAGAACACTGACACCTGGTTCAAATTCCACACCGTACATGTAATCTATGTATGCCTGCGTTTCTGTGGTCTGTCTTGTGTGTAAAGGTGTTCCAATAAGCCAGTTATTCACCATGTTAACCCTTCTAAATGCCTAGCAGATTAAATAAACCTATACAAAATTAATTTTGTGTGTTACTTGCTCAAGGTGCAAAAGTCAAGAAATAATAATTAAATCTTAAGGATGTGCATGTACACTTTGTTATTTTTTAGAGTACGAATCCTCCTTCATTTCTCATATTAGTGTCTACAATTTCCCTTACTTGTGGGATTAACTGTTTCTAAGAAAAGTATGACGTTTACCTTCGTGTAAATTAGGTTTTATACTTTATCCATACAAACCAAAATTAGATTAGATCGGGCAATTTCTAGTGTCTAATAAAAATGGACGATCTACAGTTTCGGAAATAAAACATAAGACAAACACATTTACAAAATTCACTTACTTTACGCATTTTGTATTATATAAAACGCATAATAAAACACAGTTAATTAAATCCAGTAAGTCTGACATATTTATATGGATTAGAATAACCAAAGTTTCTTATTTGGAATCTTTTTAACAAGAAGAAAGTGTTCGTTCTTATTCTGATTGAAGTATAAATAAAATATACTAAAAATTTATTTTGGTAAAATTCGGTATTAGTAGTGTCAATCGTGGCCATGTTGTACTGACATTTATTATAACAACAGTACTGGCAGTAAAACAATGAATCTTTGCCATAACAAAAGAAAATGTTCATTATTCTATGTTGCTCTTGAGAAAAAGCACTGCTCTCTTTCTTCGTTTATTTTCTCAACAGAGCAACACAGTCAGAATTTTTTTCCAAAAAATTTACGAGCATTCTCGTAGCATTCTCTGACATGCAAAGAAGCCACAGAATCATAAGACAACGCTGATGGTATTTTTTATTGCTGCAAATTAATTAAACGCACGAAGATCTAAAATGGCGTTGTGAATTTAATTAAAATTTAGCAATTAGTGGCTACAATAACGGTATACTCTTCTAACAGGGCGTATGAGGACAAACAGATGCAGCTCGCTAACACTGTCCTGAAAGAGAAATCCTAAAAGAAATGTATTTTTTAATATTACGAAAGAGATCATAATTGTCTTACGGGTGTAATACCGACAAATTATCGACTAAAAAATTAATATTAATTTTTACTCACGTACATAAAATCAATATAAGTTAGTAAGGAAATAATTAAAGAAAGCGAAAGTAGCTACCCCTCACATAAGGTGCTGAACCCAGATATAAAACGATGGACTTCATGGGCGATTTTATTGGATGTTTATTTGTAACACTAATTAAATCTTCGGTTGGTACAGGGTCGGTATGAATAAAATGACAAAAATAAGGGAAAACAATTATTTACCGTCTAATTTCAACAGTCAGATTTTCTGAAGAGCAGATGATAAATGGTTTGCCACTCCACTTAAGACATCAACATATGCAAAGCTTACAGTTCATACGAAGGCATGTCTCGTAAGCAGTGGGTTTCTTGTTTGTATCTCGAAAAGTGATGGATGCGATTCACTTACCAACTGTCACCGACTCGTTAACGAAGGAATTCTGATATGAAAAGTGTATGTGGTACCAAGGGAGCTATAACTGTCTTCAGAGGGGAAACATATTTTCAAGTGAAGAGATCAGATTATAATGGGAGACGGATTTTCTGGCTGGGGCACTGCAATATATTTCATGAGTCTTGCTAGATCCGAATCCCTGCTAAAGTTACAGTTTATTCGACAGTCCTTCTTTATAAATAAAGAAATCCTAGATGATTAAATTCACATTAAACTAATTAAATTATTTCACTAACTTAAACAGTTTATCTGAAGACATTCTTAAATATTCTGTTCTGGAGACTGATTAATTTTTTGGTCCCACATTTGGAAAGAATAATTTAAATTTTTCTCAAGGAGTTCTTATACTTTCTGCTCAAATACTGTGTCTCAAATTACGAAAGACTGGGTTATATTTTCGTCCAACAAATCTTAAATTTACTGTTCTAAAG